TTTTGCCACTAGATGACATTGTTTTGTACATAGTAACATTGGTGACGAATAGATGGCGCTATTTATAATTGATTCATATAACGTATAATAAGTAACGTTTGCCGTTGTAAATTAGCAACACTAGTTTTAGACGACGAGTTGGTTTGGTTGTCTATTTAAGGGATGTTCTGCTTTTAGTGTAATTCTTGACTATTGTGAGAATTAATTTAAAATACAACCGTTACACAGCTGCTCGCCTGCGTTTCATTCCTGTACGTCTATAACACAAATTGGCGTACTAGAACTTTTGTACCGCTTTTACTATTTGTCAGAGTAATGGGGAAACACCTTCGTAACTGAATTAAGTCAAGAATTATTTGATAATTGATCGATTTACTATTCATTATCAATTCGCTAAGCCGGCGGTGAATAATAACTTCAGTTCATTGCATTCAGTTCGTTCGTCCAGTTTTCACAGTGATTAGTTCAAAAGCACAAAAGATGAATTAGGTTATAATAGATTTTAAGTGTCACTCGGCAAACTCACAGAGACGGACCGCCAGTAATTCATTTTCAACTCACTGACACATAAAAACCATCTTGTCAAATCGTGATCGTTGCTATAGCCTAGGCAACCCTGCCAATAACCATAATATCATAGGACCATGCTGATATGGTCCTATGACATGATGGTCACGGAGGATAGGAGAGTACTTCAGACTACTAATTAAGCTTAACAGACTCGAACTACACCAACGTTATCCTCTCTGTGGCCCATCGAGTATATAACCGGAAATAGAGACGAAATAAGGGCCATCCATTCCTGGCAAGTCATCAGGTTAATGGGTCTTATAGGTATCACTTTTAAATATCAACTCTCGTTGGCGCTGAAATCACAAATTAGAAAACTGAAATAGTGCAGCACCAACAATTTACCTGTGTGTACGTCTCCGTATATTCCAAAAATATTCTGTATTTATTGTAATAAAGATAACATCTCTAACAATGGGGGCTGTTTCATTCGGTGGTGTGGGAAAAACAGCAAAACATTTAATCACAAAATAAACGAAACCAAATTTCATCGGTAATTAGATATTAAATATGTATTTGAAGTGAAACAATTGATGACACCCGTCAATTATTTCGAATTCGGGCTGGCCAATCGGAGCGCAGTTGTCATAGTAATGATTTGGCAGAATGCTTTTCATACAAATTAAATGACATTTCGTCTCTATATCTGGTTATACTTATACTCGATTCTGTGATCTCACCCAGTTTGATCGAACTGACGTGACATTTGTAAACAATAAAACCATGGTCGAAGTAGTTATTCGTAAAGCAACGCGTGATATTATTAGTTCAGATTTATCCTTTCGTAAAGCATTACGGAAACAACAAATCGAATTCTGTTACATTACGTTTAAAATGATAACTGGCTTCGACATATTCAATATTGTCTCACACTCCACTTATTAGTAAAATTATAGATTTCTTTAAACTCCTTCAAGCTATCACTTATAAATAGATTAATTTTAACAAGATCTAGATTAACTCTATATTTATCTAACCCATACGTCATGTCCACAAAAACTTACCTGACTTATTAAAAAACGAAACAAATGATAAAATAAACGAAATTAAACTATTTTTCCGAATTTAAATCGCGTATATTTGTTTTTTCAAACAAACCAACATTTCGATGACTGTACCACCTAAGTCAACCGTGACCATGGGACCTGTAAGGGGCTTGAAACGTTGGTTTCCGAAAAAATAGTTTCATTTCCTATGTGTAACAATCGCGAAAACCTAAGAACTCGAAAGAATAAAATATTAAAAAAAAACATTAAAAGATGATTATAAACTAGTAGAGTAATTTCACAAAAAATAATTGAATATCAATTCAATAAAAATTTAAGATTAATTATTACTTAAATTAAAACTTGTAACCTAAAGGAACAGTTGAAAACAGCTTACTTATACTTTCTTCCGTTCTACTTTGTTGTTCCCGAAGGGGTCCATGATATGATTATTTTACTATGTAACACGAAGTGGCTTAACTTACACTTGTAAAGCTCACAGATAACGAGTTGCAAGTTTTGTGTCTAGGGCTGTGCTAAACACATTTGACGATGTCTTAAAATATGTTATACTATTTCTATGAGCATTGGTACCTTGATGGAAAAACGAAGGCATGCATTTGTCGTCACAATTTTTTGTATTTGAAGGCACGGCCTTTCCATCCAAGGTGCGATGCGTAGAAAGTTAAAATAAAAAACCTCTGTATTTTAAGAAACTTCTCTTGATTCCTTCAAACGACTTGTTAAAGAACATTTTCTTAAGTCCTAAGTCTCGTTTTCTCTCTCCAATTCCTTCAATTTATTTCCTTGTTGCATAGTATTATAATTGTCCCGTTTCATCATGATCACCTTTTATAAGGACGCTTTTCGGTGTAGCCTCCTCCACTTCTAACGGTTCATGTCTAGCACCTTGACCTCTTCGTACCTGGTTTATTAAAACTGTATAAGAAAATTGTATTATTGTATTATTCCTATGTTACGTGCTAAAAAGTGTCCGAACTTATAGGGCGTCAAAATCGTATACAGAGCGTCATTCACGCTTTAGTCTTCGTTTGTTTGACTGACAGCGAAGCAAGCAAAATTAAACAGTACTGCGATGACATTACAATTTAAAATCAACGTTTTAGCTTTTTCATATTCCTTTACATGTCACTACGTTTAAATAGGTTGACTTGGGAAATTTTTATCGTGGTTTTTGTATTAGACCCGTCGTCCATTTATTTGTAAGTTAATGCGCTCAATAATAAAAATGTGACTTATTCCAAAAGTGACTTTTAGGAAATAGTATACGATGTACATTTTTCAAGTGACTTCAATTTCGTTTATAAAAAAACAAATTCTGAAATATAGGCAGTGTCTCTGGCGCTCGACATAAGCAAAATGAAGTACGTATTAGTACAGCTACAGCTACAGCTTTTAAATGTAATCTTCATATGTAAACCGCGTCATGTTCGTTACGTGAACCTCGTAAAAGTTAACACGCATAAGATACTGGCAATATTTCAGATGTGTCATGTTAAAATAAATCGATACGCGTTAAAATAACTTCCACGCAACTCATAAAGCTAGTTTTACGTGCGATAAAGCACCAACAGTTAAGTATCCATAGGGATCAACAAAATAATATTTTATACATCTTGCAATAAACCCTGGAAAAGTAAATACGTGCAGATAAATTTAATACCACGGTTTTAATACCACGGTGTTTATATACAATATATACATATTGTATATAAACACTTATACTTTCAACGTAATAAACTAATTAATAATTTAAACAACATTCCTACAGAAATATGTGTAGTATCTTAAATTTGTTCGTTATGTATCTGAACAACCGTCCAAACGGTGAAGATTCGACCCTTGTGGTTTCCTAAACAGAATTGAATTCCCTTCATCCACTCTATATAGGATAATATTGTTATCCTACCGAAATTAGGTCAAATAATAAAGCTTCCCAAAATTGTGAAACAACAAAACCATGGATTGTGCATAAAAATCGAACCCTGGCAAATCGAATGTAGATTCAATTATAGATTAGCCCTTGTATCGCACAGCATGGGGACACGTGAATAAATAAATACAATTACATTGAACAAAAAGTAAATCCCTATTGATTCTGACCAAAAAAACAAGAATGTCCCCGAAGTCGACTCCGAAAAATACCGACACCGAATCGATTATTTTTCCGCTGATCGATTTTTACGTCGTCGTAACAATAATAGTGAAGCACAACAATAGACATGCATCAATTCAAGTGTCAAAAACTAACATCTGCGCGTTCGTTGTAAACAGAGCAAAATACTAGAGGGTCCCACCATTCTTTGGGGAGCCCAGTCTCGCAAGCCTGTGTTTATGGCTCATTATTATTGTGCTCCGCTTTAGAGTAGCTGCAAATGACATACTCCATCTATTATTAAAATAAACCTTAGCATAGAATGCTTTTGTTAGTAAATTTTAAAGCTTGTATGCGAGCGGGAAATTGCAATGGGAGAGGCCACGCGACAGCTTTCATTAGTACCTTCAGCTAACTGGGTAATTGTGGAGTACTCAAGCGTTTACTCAAATCGTTTGTAATAATTATCGTGGAAAAATAGCCAGCGCAAAGCAAGCCATCGATTTTATACTATGACCTAGTTGGCAATTTTTTTGTCCGAAGACTTTTTCTGTTAAAAAGACAGTCAAGTCAGCAATTGCCTGACGAAAATGAGTTCTTCTACCTCTAGTGCCTTTTCACGTTAGCTTCTTGTATTCGGCTCTATCCGCAGACAACCGAAACTTCAGTGTCCAACCACTGAAGGTCAGGTTCCAGAAAATGAGATCATTCATCAATAGGCAAGAAAGAATGTCTCTGTCACGTAATCAGGAACGATATCTACACATTAGTACACTTGATAATGATGGGCAAAGTGCAGGGAAAGAGATACTCTGGATGAAGGAAGAAATCGTGGCTGCGGAACATTCGAGAATTTACCAGCGTTGCCTCCATACATGTTACAGCCAGTTGGCTGCTGATAGAGAATGAGTTACGAGGCAGCAAAGTCAGGCCTTGTATTATGCGAGTCGGGCAATTCTCTTTCCCGCCGAGGTATTATAATTTTCTCAAACAAGAAAAAAATACAAAACAATGAAAGAGAAGTTGCACTGGAAAAACTAATAAAATTTTAATTTTTTAATTCTCGCAATTACGGACACTGATGCTGTTTTTTCAGATAGTTTATGACAGTTTTATTTTAATCTGTTTAAATAGTTCGTTGTTAGTCATAGATTTAAAAGTTTAGAGCAGCGGACGGAAGCGTATTTTCATATTTACTTTCGTAACCTAGGCCAGTAAAAAGTTGCGTGGTTCATAAACGTTTTTCGTCTTTTTTTCTTTGTGTTCTTTTTTAAAAAATATTACAAATATTTCCTAGTATGTTTGAGAAAATACCACTTTTGTTTTAGGTTCCGTAAACGGTGGTCTGAACGATGACTACGGGAGCAGCGGAGAAGCACCTTACATCATAGAGCAGCCCTTAGACGTCACCGTAGCTCGGCACCAACCAGCCACGTTAAACTGCCGAGCAGGAGGCTCCCCAACACCCACAATCAGGTGGTACAAGGCTGGGGTATTAGTGGTATCAGATACTCACAGAAGTCTTCTACCGGCTGGTGGACTATTCTTCCTAAGAGCAACTCACGGAAGAGCCCACTCTGATGCTGGAGTCTATTGGTGTGAAGCAACAAATCCTTATGGAACAGCCAGAAGTCGAAATGCAACTCTACACGTAGCTGGTAAGTTTTTTAACTAGCTTAACAATTTAGGACCTATTGACTAAGTACGTTAAGGATTTATTAAAGTATACAAGAAATTTCCTGTAAAATTCATAATAATGCGATTGGAGACACAGGGAAACAGTCTTAGGAACCATTTTCTTTGTGCAAACTATTTTGGCATAGTCAATTTATTGGTCAAGCGCGAGTTGTCAAAAAATAAACAAAATTTTTTTTTAGTGCTGATCGACTCAGTTTCTTGTGAGGATTTGATTGCATTGGGGTCATCGGGAAAAATATATGGTAATAGACAAGTCTATCAGCGTATAAAAAAATTAGAAACTTTTATTCAAATTATATGAAGAGCGTTTCATAAAATTTTACCAAATTATGCTGTCCTAATTTTTTCTAATTTGGATATGAAAATAAATGATTCTTACATGAAAGTGAGTAGATCAGTATTATAAGAATAACTAGTGAATTTCATTCATTTTTAGGGACAACTCACACTTGACCAAAAAATTAACTATGCCAAAATTGTTTTCAAAAAAAAAGTTCCCTGTGTCTCCTACGGTTTTGGATTTCCTCATACTGACCCAATTAAAAAAAAAACACACTGTGTATGCAAGACTTTCTGATTCTCTTTTTTCTATTATTTCAACAACGGTTTCATCTAAAAAAATGAAAATATAATATTGTCAACATTTGCTTTAAAAACTTTTAAGTCCTTTAGTATAAAATCAAGTTTTTATTTCCTTATCCAGTCCTGCGAGAAGAATTCAGATTGGAGCCAGCGTCCACGCAGACTGCGCAGGGAGAGACTGTGATACTGGAGTGTTCACCACCTCGGGGTTCACCGGAACCTTCTGTTTATTGGAAGAAAAATGGTCAGATTTTACACTTCGATGGTGACTCTAGGTATGTACTCGTATGTAGATGTATATAACTAGTGTAGCTGGGACATGGAAAAATTTCCATTTAAAAAAATCATATTTTTCAGAAAAATAAATATTTTTACCTCACTAGCTCGGAAAGGCTTTCTTTCTGAATATAAATCTGCGCGCAAAAGCGTTTTCTCCACGCTAGTGGAAAAGGTTTCTGAAGTTCGAACTTGACGATGGACTGTGTGGCAAAAAAAACATATATGACACTTTCAACTACGCGATTTATCGTACATTATTTATGTAATAAATCCGTTGGTGTATTTTTATTGACTCTTATTATAATTGACATTAAATTGACAACGATAACTAATTATGTTTATTAAATTATTTTAATTCGTCGAAGAACTGCACTGATTTGTTGATAGTTCAATTGTTTTTTTTTCATCTATCATTTTGCTCGCCATAGTGAGGTGAAAAAGTTGTGTGAATCGCTCAGCAACAAAGATGTTTTGCGTCTTGTGTCTCGAAATCCTTCGCTTGGTCAGGTTTCAATACAAACACTCGCATCAAACGACAAATTTGCAGCCTTGCAAAACAAATACTATTATTGTTGTAAGTGACATGCCTGTCTATAATAGTTGCTATACCGCTCATACCTTCAAATCTGAGGGGTACTGTCACTGGCCCCGTCGCCCTGAGTCTTAAGGAGACAAATCCCATGTGCTGTCACCAGCACCCACATTAATGTTTGTCGGCTGAAATAGGTAAGGTGGCAGTACTTGCCTGGACGAACTCTTTCACAAGGAGCCCTAGTGCTACAAAACATATTTAAAGATTGTATATGTTTCAACGTAGAATTACCCAACGCTATATTGTATGACTTTTATTATGATTGGATTTCCATTGGGGTAGGCAGGGACTAACGATCGCCACTTTGAGTCAATCTTTTCTTGCCAGCCTTAATCTGTCCACTACGCACTCCATCGTTTCGTGGTTATTCTATAAATTTCATCGCCAATCCACATAAAATGAGGAAATTTTCTATCAATAAACTTTCAAATACTTTCTTATATTATATTCATGTTAGAATTTTTTATGTGTAATAAACTGTTAATAACATCAATTTGTAAAAACAAATTAAATGTTGTACTCAAATTGTTTTACGTTTATGCAGTTTTAAAGGACCGCCTAAAATCAAATTGCCTAGCTTGATGTGCTTTCGATTGTACCAGAAATTTAGTGTAACACTGTGTTTATAATTTTATAGTGAACATGCTGTTTTTAATTGCTTAAATTATTAAGCTTCCACTACATTATTCATTTTATTCAATATCTTCAAAAGTGAAGTGAAAGAGATCCTGGTGTAGCCATGTTTCAATCATAAATGTCTAATTTAAAACTTAAACTCAGAGTTTATTTAATTAGGTACCTACCCAGTTTTCTTTACTTACTTCGTGAAAGCACACGATACCCTTAACATTCAAAACTATCATAAAGCGGCCACCAATGGTTGGTTGAATTGCGAGCGGGTATTAAAACCAAAACTTACGTCCATAAACTTTCGGGTAGAGGAAATCTACAAACTTGCCGGTCACAATATTAAAATGAGAAGTTTGAGATATCCAAGTTGCCGAATGGGTTGTCTGATAAAGCACAGTTAGACGCGAATTTGAGGATAGTTACTGAGAGCACTCCACGCTCTAAGTGGGATGAAGGAAACGCGATAGTCTTGTGGAAAGCTATCCGAATAGATTCGTTTGATATTTCATACGCAGACGCCATATAACTTTGTTTCACATTTCAGCTAGTTTTATTAGCAATTATGTTTTAAACAGCTTTAAATTAACACGTTTCTTAATCACATATAATTCGACACCACTTCACATGACGAGGTCTTTATAAGTAGGTGAAACCACTTGCGGAAAAGTTTACCAATAACATAGTTAAAGTATAGGAAGACTTCTTCTATCCTTCAATATGTTAGCGGATAATTTGGTCCGTCAAAACTAACTAGATGATTAAATTCAGTAGTGGATATCTTTTGACTGAAATGATGATGCTGCTTGGAATATTTATGGAAAGAGCTATTCATTACTAATAAGTAAAATACGTTTCTTAAAATAATATAAAAAATCAACCTGTATTTTTCGTTAAGAACAAAGTAAGCTGTGATTTTAAAATGAAATTGAATTTCACTTCAAACTTTTATTGCCAATTTATTTCACTTCGACGTCTATGAATTTTTATGAGGTAAACTCCTTCAGGGTGTTATACCACGTATGGTGAAGCATAAAAATAATTAACATAGCGAGGGTACATCAAAGTTATAGACGAAGGGGGATATTTGAAGAGCTCAACAAGCAATCAAGTAAAAATCTCAATAGTTCTTACTCACCGGACCCCTTATTAAATGTTAATTTCGCATTGAATTATTCCGCCCCACATTTCAATGACTTTGTTACAATTCACTTGATTCAAACTAAATGAAATGCATTCACAATTATTTACACAGATTCCTTTCTTTCATGGCGTGATGGAGTTGCAATAATTGCAGTATATTAAATGTAGCGATATTGTTTCAGAATGCATTTAGTAGACGGTGGCAGTCTCGTAATACAAGACGCGAGGCAAACCGATGCCGGTAGGTATCAATGCATTGCGAGAAATGCAGCTGGCACGAGGGAATCGGCCATCGCCACGCTCAAAATACACAGTGAGTTCGCTCATTAATCTTCACATGAATTTCCAAGCGTAAATTTCCACTTCGATGACTAAGAGAGATTTGTCGCGGTCCGTCCCCGGTTGCGCATCAAATGGCACTAATTTCTGGCAGTAATTTGCCGTAAGCCATTTCTTCCGCGAATGCCTCTTTTGTCATGTTATTCAACGGACATTTCTCGTTGTGCAGTTAAGCCGTACTTAATCACGGGCCCCGAAGACGTCGTGGCGCAGACCGGCGGCAGCGTGACTTTCCAATGCAGAGTGGGCGGAGATCCCCTCCCAGACGTGCTGTGGAGACGCACTGCTGGTGGAGGCAACATGCCACTAGGGCGCGTCAAAGTCTTAGATGATAGAAGCCTAAGGCTAGACGACGTCATTCTAGCAGACGAAGGAGAGTACACTTGTGAAGCTGACAACTCCGTCGGCGCTGTTAGTGCTAGTGGATATTTAACTGTATACGGTAAGTGTGGATAGAAAATAAATTGTATCTTTAAATGTGCATAACATACGATTATTGGAAATTAATAACCTCAAATATATTCGCAGATCCTCCTTCAATTACAATGCGACCAAATATTGTAAATGTTGAAAGCGGCACTGTAGCAACTTTCACTTGTTCGTCGACTGGGACACCGCAGCCGACGATGTTTTGGAGTGTAGAAGGAAATAGAACAATTATTTTGCCGGGCACGTCGAGAGGCAAATATCACGCTTCCCCGGTTCTCGACGGAGTCACCGTACTAACAATCAACGACACAAATAAAAACGACAGTGGAAACACGATAGTGTGTTCGGCGGTAAACTTTGCTGGTAGTTCGTTTGTTAGGGGGAAACTAAGCGTGACGTCAGACGATGACCGCCCACCGCCAATCATAACAAACGGACCCTCAAATCAAACGTTACCTCTAAAATCGATGGCAGTTTTCCCCTGCACGGCAATCGGCACACCTGAACCAATCATTGCCTGGTATTTCGAAGGGGAAGCGTTAATACAAAATCATAGAAGGAATGTGTCTAATGACGGAACTCTAATATTGAGGGATTTAGATAAAAGCGACAGCGGGACTTATACGTGTGTTGCTTCGTCACCACACGGCAAATATGTGTGGAGTGGGGTCTTACTTGTCGATAGTCCAACGAATCCAAACATACATTTCTTTAGAGCCGCCGATGTTTCCTCATTACCCGGCCCACCCACCAAGCCACAAGTGTATAATATTACCGACACCAGTGTTACAATCACATGGAATCAAAACAATAAAATTGGATCCTCTTCCATACTCGGATATCAAGTGGAAGTATTTTCAAGAGAAACATTATCAGGGAATAATACGCCAAGGAATTCACGAGGATGGGTCGTTTTAGCTAAAAGGGTGCACGAGTCGCACTACGTCGTGAAATCTCTCGTGGTCGGAGTTACTTACATGTTTATTGTGAGAACGGAGAATTCACATGGATTGTCTGCGCCAAGTGGTATTTCAGAATCCGTTACAATTGGGGAAGACGGTACGTCTGTGTGGGATACTGGAGTATTTTCTAATAATACAGAGTTCAGAAAAAATATCATGACAGATAATATTGTTGAGCTTATAGAAGCTACTCCGATAGACTCCAAAACAATTAAGCTAATGTGGGAAATTTTAAACTTCTACTATTTGGAAGGATTGTTTGTCTACTATCGACCACTTGACAATAAAACAAACGACTATGAAATGAAAACTATTCTGCATTCCAATGACGTGTCAGGATATGAAATAACATCTTTGAGAAAATATACAAAATACGAGTTTTTCCTTGTTCCGTTTTATAAAAAGTTTGAAGGAAAGCCGTCCAATTCGAGAACAGCGCAAACTTTGGATGATGGTAAATGTATACAATATTTTCCGGTTTGATTTATTTTTTATCTCTCAAAGTTTGCTATAGCGTTTTATTTATTTTTCAGTTCCCAATGGCCCGCCAACGAATATTGAAATGTATATATTCAATACCACAACAGTTCATTTGAAGTGGTCCCCTCCGGAGCCCCACTTGCAAAATGGGGCAATCATCGGTTACAATGTTGTTGTCAATTGGCTGGACATACCGGCTAACAAATCAATGGTGGCCATAAATGCAACTGTACAGCAAGCCACAAGTCTTATCATGACCAATTTAACTTCTGGAGTTAGCTATTCAGTTCAAATTGCCGCCGAGACTATAGTAGGATTGGGTCCCTTTAGTCAAAAAGTGTATTTGAACATTGACTCTCGTTCCGTTGGACTGGATCCTTTATCAAGGTAAATATTTAAAAAAAAACAAAAATAATATTCATATCTTGCGAGTAAATGCAAAATCACATTTACGATTGTCAATTTATATGTATTATTGTTTCAGATATCCAATCAATGGGGAAGTGTCGATTGTCGCTGGGGATTTCGTGATGGAAACATGGTTTTACTTTTTGATTGGAGCGATTGTTCTGTTTAAAATAATTGTGATTGGCGGCATAATTTATGTTCGAAAGAACAACATTTTCGCTAAAAAATCTGCTCTTCCTAACATTTACGGTAAGCTTTTATAATAATTAAATTTACTTAATGTGAAGAAACATCATAAAGAGAAAATTTATTCAAGTATCATATGTCGTAGTTGCAAGAAAAAGAAATAGTTATTCACGCTATCTCGTTTCTATTTTTTCGCGGAATCAGTATCAGGCTTTCAAAATTAAAAACATTCCTCGGGTGTCGAGGGGTGGCACCGGGCGCGAGCGTTTGTTTGAAGCAGGCTTTGCCGTGCGACGAGGAGGGGGCGCTAGATTACTTTCGAGTTGAAAGGTAGCATGAGCCCTCTCGTGAGCGCACTGGATCTCTTTCACTTTGCATCCACGTTTGGCTCACAAAGGAATGATACAAATCCGAGAAATAAAGACCCAGTAAATGTAAATGTTTTCTATTTTGTTTTCTCGAGGCGATTCGTTTGTTGACTCACCCAGTTACCTTTAAGCCAATTTCCCTCGCTTTGTTTGTATTGTATTGCGTTTTCATCCTTTAAACCTTCAGTAAACGAAATGATTTACATTTGAATTATGAAATTGATATAATGCGTACTAATGATTGGGGATGAGTGACTGTATAATTTGGTCTTTGTTTTAGATTCAAATGGAACCAGCTTAGTGACTCAAATGAACATTAAGGCGGCTGTTTCCCTATCTCATCCACTTAGCAGTTGCTACAATAAGAACACGGTCACAAAGACTGAGTCATTACTTTGGATGGAAAATCAGCCCGGTTTGTGTATGTCTGGCACTCAGACGGGTCAGAGTAAAGAGAAAACTAATTCAGAGTACGATAAAGTAGCACAACCATTACCCGAATATGCGGAGGTGACATCAGCGAGAGCAAATGGAAATGACTGGAATACTACAAGCAAAACAGCAACGTCGCCTGCTGCGTACGCCTCGGTTACTCTAGTGGCAAATACTAGACAGTGTGTCAGCTCATTGGTAAGTTTCTTCGTATTCAAACCTAATGCGCTGTAGGTAAACTTTACTTGCTTATAAATGGTAACATCATATTTCTTTTATAGGGTTGGTTCCCACCAGGAGGAGGAAAGAACGTAGAAACATTCGACAATCGTTACATACCAGATGAAGAATTGTATCCAGCAAGTAATGGTGGCTACTATAATAGAAATGTGTACAGTGAAAAATATTTTCATGGCCATCCCAATGTTCTAAAATTTTACGATCTGCCGTCATTAGATAAAACACAGAAAGCTCAGTTGAGGTACAACCAGAGTTTAGAAGAAAGAAAAGGAGATAAGAACCCAAAGACTGATGTGACACAATCGCTGATAGGTCGAACGTATGGAATAAACTCAAGGAAAAATTCTGAAACGGAAACCACGTATAGAGCATTTGGTGAAGAGACGTCAGATGATGATAATTACGGGGAAGACGGAGGTTACGATGAGCTGCAAGCCATGCAGCCACAGAGGCAACGACCACAGCATCAATACGAAAGGCCTAACTTTGACAACGATGCGACGCGTACACTGGCGAGGTTCACATCTTTCAGACATGGAAATAGTGGAGCGTCACAACCGTCCCTTGCGCCGACGCATCCCCCGCCCGCGCCACACCCTCGTGTCGATTCGATCACGCGGTAGTATCACGCCTTGCCGGCTTTCGGCGATTTGTGCCAAACGGACGTATAGACCGATGTATCCCGTTTTGTGTAGTGCATTGTAGCGTCATCACTAAAGCAAGATTCCTCACGTTTTGCAGTTTTTGTGTATCGTGTTAAAGAACTATTTTGAAAGGATTCGAATTTCGTTCGTTAGAAGAGACTGAATGGCATTTATTTTATGATTCTGTGGCCTAACATTTATAAGGACTTGAATATCGAATGTGTGGCCTATGTCGTGCTTAGAAATGCACATTTTGCAGAGTTTGATTTTATTATAGATTTTATATTTTCTTTTATTTATCATAAATTATTCCTAGTCTTTTGTAAAAAACATTTAAATTTGTAAATAATGTAAATACGCTATATCTATTAAAAGGTCTGACAATTACGAGTCTTGGTGAGGTGTTAAATTTAATATCAATTCTAATGCATGTTTCTATGATGTTATTATTGGAATTGATAGAGTTCAATTGGTATCTCCGTCTGAATATCAATAAACGAATTTGTAATCTGAATATCATTAGTTTAAGCACGAGTAAATAGAACCTGGAGCAAATTAACGCTTGGCAATAATTTGAAGTAACTGGTAGTGTAAATATTTATCCTAGACTTAAAGTAAACTTCAATTCAAAGAAAACTCCTAATTTTTATTGTGTAGTGTCCCATTTATTCAATTCACGTGAGTTTTTCACTATACCCGCCGACAAAAGAAATATCTTCATTTGTATTAATTTCTTTTAACTTAGGAGTTCGTACTTTGTTTATATAATGTGCCATAAAATTCTTAAATATAAAGTAACTTTGGAGTTGTGAGAAGAATTCAAATGAAGCGTTAAAAAAGTTATTATCTACGTAAGGTATGTGATATGAGTTATATAGCCACTTGTTATAACTACTACATAGCACAACTTGTATGGTTGCATATCATATATTTGTATTAAGTATGTCATAGTTAAAGAAATGTTATAAGGACGTGGGAGTTTATTCAGTGCGGAACTAGGAGAGAAAGACAGAAATGAAACGTGATCCAGTCAATGGAACTTTTTGATTATTTGATAGATTCTTATTTAAACCAATCACAACATGATTCAATTCATTAGTTATTGCTGCTATCATTATGCTTGGTAGACCCAGTTGGAAACTAATTACGTTATCACCTTAAACAACATCTTGTTTATTTCAAACGCTTTTTTCTCAGCTGTTGTCAATCATTGTGTTGTCTTATACAATTACGGTTATAAGTAGATATGAGTATCTTAACACAGTATAATAATTAACTATGTATACATTTACACCTCTTTATTTCACCGAGGTAAGCAAGGTCCATGAAACTTCTCTTGCCTACTCCACTTATGTCAGTCATCATATATGTTCATTTATTCTTGGTATTTTCAATGATCTGATCAAGATATGTATATCAAGATCTACTTGTCATTACGCTTTCACTTACATTTACTACATTTATTTTATTATTCTTTTATTATTTACCCTTATCTACTTGCGTTTCATAATGTACGTTACAGATGTTTTTGTTACTAATATTGAGATCAAATTATGGACCCTGAACAGGGTAAAGCAAATAATGGAAGTGAGACCTAGTCTCCTGATTGTTATACTTAATATACAATTAGATATCTACCAACAGTTTTATATTATGATTTAATGTTACATTATATATCTTTTTTATGCTGTATCTATTTCTATTTATGTCATTTATTTCTACATAACCAAAGCCATGCAATATGTTTTCTGTCCTCGTTACTACACGATCTTACTCTAAGACTGAACTATTCGTCATTGTCTTTAAGACTGCCACTGCTCATCCAGCGCAAAGCTGTGATTCCTACAAATTCACCTTACTTTCATGCCTTTTCTGCTATAACCTACTTCATTTTTATCCCAATCAAATCTTTTTTTTTAATTAATAACATAAAATTACTTGATACTACGACTCAGTGAACAAAAAGCGAGCAAAGACATTGCAAATCCGTCCCCCGCTCACCGTGCCGCCACCTAAGGCGCGAGCAAACTCAAACGGTCTGACTATAACTTTCATTTTTTAACTTTACCTAACACTTATCTACAAGGGTTGTTATTCCCAGAAGGCAATATCATATAGGGCAAAATATATAAATATTTTATGAGTTATTTATTATCTGCTTTATTTCGGTCTAGGTCTATAGCCTTAATTTGCATTCTAACCTACAGTGTAATGACCCGAAAATAGAATAAGTTACCGTTTCCAGATCTGCACTGAACATAACTCCAAGCAAGTGATCTGTTGATCCCGATACAATAATTGCTATCGTCCTTGTTTATTATTTTGTAAATACGTAAATGAAGTTGCCTTTATACTTCGATTCGAGAACAGACTGCCTTTGTTAAGTATTATGTCCTTTTACGATGGATGCTATTTCATAACAGTCCTTGACATCATCATGTATTTTATAATTACTATACAAACTTGGGGTCTACTCTCATTCCCCATTCGATATATCGCACCGTTAATACAATAGTGTATTAACTCAAAAAGTGTATTTTCTCAGAATCGACGAAAAACGATTTACTCGTTTCCCGTTAAAGATAATTAAAATGTATATATAGATTATAGTTTCATTTAAAAATAAAAGAGAAAGTAATTCTATATTTTTGAATAAGGACTATTTTGGCCAGAACTCTCGTGTCTCATTTTGAGTTAACTAGATATTTTTTAGTTGTTTCTTACAATATTCTTAAGACATTTTTATACACGTGTAGAGAATCAAATTTTACGTTCAATAATGGTATAATCTTGAATTTCACATATTTTGAGCTATAACACTATTGTAATAGCTGTGCGATTTGTCCGAAACAATTGCTGTCGAATAAGTAATATTTGACAAAATCAAACGACACTATTAAGAATCGATACAATCCCAAATGGCTTTGGTTGATTCTGAATAACATTAAAATTATTGAATCAATCAGTTTTAAAAAAATGTATAGTAAAATTGACAACACTAATTAGTAGATGGTGCGAAAACTTGATTCTTAAGAATTTTCACTATAGAAAAAAGACACTAACTTACCTCGAAATTTTACAAGAAAACCGTAGTATTCAATATGTGCTTTACATGTACCAATGATTTTTTTTATATCAACTGAACTAAATATCACACGTATAGTATACGAAATACATTTTTCAAATGGATTTCATTACGTTTGTAAAAAACAAACTATGAAATAAAGCCAATGTCCCTGTCGCTCGACCGAAGCAAAGTGAACCGCATTTGTACGACAAAAATTTAAATTCGAGCTGTGGTAGTATGGACTCTAAAGTATGTAGCTTTATTCGCATCATGCGTTTTTTTTAATTTGGTCTTTTTGGTCTAATTGTTCCGGGCAGATGTCGGACGGAGAATGGAAGTAGATCTCCTTGGTCAAGTCATGTTGATTTTTCCCTTTGATATTTTAGTCAACAAATCCCACATGAAACCCATTACTGTCATAACTGAAAATTGTAAAATTGGAAAGAAAAAAAATTACTGAATAAAATTATTATCTATACGATATTTTTTTTAATTCTCAAATCGTGTTTCTCAATTTCACAGTTTTGAGTTAGTTAGTTATGATTTTAAGTGCGAAATTTCACGCTCAATAATAAAAATGTGACTTATTCCAAAAGTGACTTTTAGGAAACCGATAAAATAGATTTTTTTTAAATTACATGCGTGGTACCGGCCATATATGACAAAATTCTATTTGATATGATAAATAATTCGCACTGTTATTACAATAGGTTCGTAACTCAAAATATGTGAAATTCAAGATTATACTATTGGTGAATGTAAAATTTTAATCTCTATACGCCATTAAAACCGCCTTTGAAATATCGCGAAAAACAAACGAAAGATATCTAGTTAAATCAAAATGAGACAAACTTTTTTACATAAAAATATGACATTGTTTTTCCCTATTAATTTTCAACAAAAAGTAGGAATTTGTTTATTGTATAAATACATAAATTTTAATAATATTTCACGGGAAGTGAGTAATTAGTTTTTCATCTGTTCTGAAAAAATACACCTTTTGAGTTAATACACTATTACATTAACAGTGCGAATTATATTGGTTTTATTTTGTAGGTTACTTTTCAAATTAAGTCATTATACTATAGAGAGAGGGTAGTAACCTAAAAGACTCTTGAGCGAGGGGGAGGTAACTCAAAAATGAGTTCAAATTCAGATTCGTTTTTGCACCACTGAGTTCCTCGGACTATGGCTCACCTAAAAAGAGACCAATTTTACTTCTGGTCGCTTGTAAAGGTAACTCGTACGTGAAATAGCGTTCATCCGATTGTTTAATTACGTTTATTTACCAGATACCTTGCTTCTTATGTGCCACAATTAGTAGATTTTAGAAGCTGATATTCCTTTACAAAGTCACAATCTTCTAGTTCCTATTATTCGCACTGTGTAATAAGACGTAGGCACGTGTAATAGAGAATATATTTATTTGGCATTTACGACATATTTGTAGTAACTAAAAGGATATATGGTGATCTGTGTTAATTTTCAGTATTCATGATAACTATTCAAGTATTAATATAAATTATCAGTCACAATTGTTGTTCTGGAACATTCACTATAGTATTAAAATGGAATTTAATTTGACCAATCACGTAGCTTGTATTTTTAAAATTGACATTGTGTTACTATAATGCAATTGGTCAATTCGAATTTCCTATTTGCATTACGCGACTGTATTAAAATTCCACTATTTGATATGAAATTGATAACTGTGTTACTTACAATTTACAATAATGGGATTGGTCAATTCGAATTTCCTACTTGCATTATGCAACTGAATTGTAAAACCATTGTTCCATAGAAAATCTGTATATCAATACTAGATATAGCAAGGTGTCTACTAATTTTAATAATATAACAGAATGAAGGCCTATTTTTATGTGTAACATGTGAATACCGTTTGGATATTGATTAACATCAAAACAATAACAAAAAATGCCCTGAGACTATTTTTAATTTTTGTATTAGACTTTGAATACCTATTTTCTAATAAAAATAATTTGAATTAC